TTTTTTTTTTTTATACCTCAATTAGCTTCGGGCCTCAAGATTATAGACACTAATCACTTCAACAATACTCTATGTAAGAATTTGATTTTATCATTATTGGAAATCTACAGTTATTATTCCTAACTTATTATATTTGTTGAAATAAGTGATTTTGGGTGCATTATTTGAAAGAAAAGAGAATATTCAATTATCCTAAAACCTCTCATAACTTAATTATATTTTTACCATTACTCGGGTGCTAATTTCCTGATCTGTTGAAAATAACTAAAATTGGAAGATTGGAAGAAAGATGATTTTTGACGCGTTAGTAAATAATAGACCTCCGACTGGTAGCGAAACGACATGTATCGAGCTCAACGCTTTGCGACCTGCAAAAACTCTCACATCGGAGGAATTTTAAAGTGAAGAGTCTTCGATGTTTAAGTTAACACTGTGGAGAAGATGAAATGTTGTGGACGTGTATGGAATAATAGAGAATGTGATGGAGACGAGATTGCGTTTGCCTTCTTGGAGAAACATGATCTGGTCCTGCATTTAATTATATAATTATTTGTTTCATTGTCTTTTATTCTTATTACTTTTACTTTTTATTTAATATGATAGGTGAATATTTATTTTTATCTTTCTTATTAGGCAAGATTGATAATTAGGGAGATGAGAACTTTATTTATTCTCCCTCTTTCATTATCTTCTAGCGACTTTTGAAGAATAAAAACACATAAATCTTGAGATTTATAACCTTTATTCTTATTCGCATACGCTCACTACATCAGTTGATATCCGAAGTCCAGTACGTTTCAAGATGCAGCCAAAGAGGACTGACATTGTCGATGCCAACATTCAGTCAATGAGCCAAACTGCCTGGTCATGGATTCGATCTCATATCCAATTCGATCTCATGGATTGCAATCACAGAGCTAGCCGAGAGATTCGAGGACAAACTGCCTGGTCATGCTGCTTTAATTCCCAGACGATCGGACAAATCGTGCCCGTGGCAGGAGATAAGGGGGGTGGCACGGAGGTCGCGGCCGGTCGCCTCATCAGTGGGACGGAGACGGTGACGATGATGACACCCTTTCTGAGGTTAACCCTTTTGGACATCCAGCTCGAGAGGACAATTTTCCACCCAAGGAGCGGTAGTGGGGATCCTCTTTTCGCGTTGGTATTCTAGAATTTACCAACGACTTAGATGCATCGGATATTTTGGATTGGATGGCCACAGTCGAGCCCACACTCGACTTCAAGGAGGTGTCGGGTGACCGACGTGTCGCGTTGGTCGCGACTAGCTTGCGTGGTCATGCCGGCGCTTGGTGTCTACAGCTGAAGGAGGCGCGACGTAGGCTCGGCAAACCAAAGGTCAAAGCCTGGGCAAAAGTTTTGAAGCACCTCGAGCGTGAGGTCCTTCCCTTTAATTACGTTCAAACCGTTAATCAACAATTACAAAATTTAAGGCAAGGTCCACGATCGGTGAATGAGTACATCGAGGAATTTTATCGGCTTCTTACAAGGGTTGAGGTACGCGAGATGATCGACCAGATCGTCTCTCGCTATTTTCGTGGCTTGGGAGTCCTGATCCAGAACATGTTGAATGTTTTCACGCCCGTTTCAATTTCGGACGCTGTGCGGGGCCGTCCTTTCTCTCGGCTGCACGACAAGGGCAGACTTCAGCTTAGGGGTTGGGTTTGGTACCCGATAGCACAACGATGTTGGGTGCGAGCATACAGGCCGCGAGCGTGGGTCTGGGAGTGGCCGCAAGACAACACCAGAGTTGGGCGCATCAGCTGCAACGTCGGGTCCTTCGACAGGGTTTTAGGTAGCAGACAGGTTGCGGTGCTTTATGCACGGGAAGCTCGGACATTGGTAGACGACATGTCCTCGGCCAGGATGTTGCCGCGCTCTATTCACGAGAGATAGCGGCGTGGCATATGATGGCATGGCATACGAAGGTTCCCCGATCTTTTACGATGAGGTCCCAATTATAGATGAGCACCTTAGCAGTGATGTCGGCCCAACACTCATCCTTCGTCGTTCTTGTTTCGCTCCCTAAGTCTCTTCCGAGGCATCAGTGCAGAGGCAATACATTTCGAGTCCACTTGCCTAGTTAGTAGTCGGGTGTGTCGTTTTATTATTGATTTTTGGTCGTGCGAGAATGTGGTTGCCTAAGAGGCTGCAGAGAAGTTTCATCTTGCCAGCGAGCTGCATTCTCAGCCTTACACTCTCGCTTGGATCTTGCATGGCAATGCCATCACTGTCGACCACTGCGTTTTGGTTTCTTTCTCTATTGGGGCCACGTATAGGGACACTTGGTGTGATGTCGTACCTATGGATGCCTGTCACCTTTTTTATGGGTTTTCTGGGGATGTTCGATCGTTCAGCTGCACATGATGGTCGCCTTAACACCTACAACTTCTTGTTCAAGGGTGTTAAGATTATTCTACATCCGGCTCCACATCGATCTTTGTCTACACTTGCACCATGTCCGATCTTGTTCCTTTTCCTGCAGCTTTTGTTGACGAGATGCGCAAGACTCCTTTTGTCTTATTGTTGTTGGGGTCCGACTCAACGTCTGACCAATCTTCCCTGGCGGCTATACAGGCGTTGCTTGAGGAGTTTGCGAATGTTTTTTCAGGGATCTTCACCCGAGTTTACCTCAAGTTCGTGACAGACAACATCACATTGAGTTAGTGCCCAATGGCTCTATTCCAAACCGACCACATTATCAGATGAGTCCGTCGGAGCATGATGAGTTATGTTGATACGAGGAGGAACATTTACAGCGTGGCATGGTGTGTCACAACTTGAGTCCGTGCATTGTTTTGGCTTTACTTATCCTGAAAATGGACAAATCTTGGCGCATGTGTATGGATATTCGGGCTATCAACAAGATCATTGTCCGCTACCGGTTTCCTATTCCTCGTTTGGACAACTTGTTAAATCAGCTACATAGTGCTACCATCTTCAGGAAGTTGGATCTCGTGGTTAGTTTACATATTTTTTTTTTCCAAATAAAATAACTATTCTATGGTATGTTATTTGTTAATACACATAAATTCCTATTACTTTATAACATAATTTATAATTTTACTTGATATTTTTTAATTTTGTTTGATGAAAAAAATTAAATTTTATTTATAAATATATATATACATATATCAATGTAATTATATATATGATATGGATATCAAATCAAAGATTATTTAAGGATAAATTAATTTGATATATCATAAATGAAAAATAAAATACAAACGAAAACAGTTATAAAACTTTAAAAATAAGAAGAAAAAACATTCAGAATAATAATTGATGTATCAATTAAATAAGAAAAATAAATGTAATA